TCAGAGGGTCCGGTGACGCCGATGTATGGCAGCTCCACCTCTGTCAGTGTGCCCCAGGGCAGCTGTGGCTACAGTGTAGCTTACCATCATCAGTGTGTGAATGAGTGTGAACGGGTGAGTGTGAATGTCTGTTAGTGTGAAGAGCTTTGGGGTCCGGAGGGACTTGAAAAACCACTCTATAAGTTCAGTACCATTTACCTGTTCTGTACTCCACATCTGTTTCTCCCACACTACCCTTATTAAATGTACCTACAGTTTTTTCTTTCTGGTCTACAGGGTCCTTGGTTGTCCTGAAAGACGCTTTATAAATAAGATGCATTATTATTGTTATTATCTGTCTTTGATGGCCCCTCTTGTTCCTCCTCTTCCATATTTGGTTTCTGCTGCTGCTTGACAGTCCCTCACTGGTTCTTCACCAGAGGCTTTCCTCCTGATGTACTCCAGGACCTCAGATGTGTCATCCTGTATGGTGGCTCACACACTCCTCTGTCCTCTTGGTGTACAGCAGGGGTAGGCAGTCCTGGTCCGTGAGGGCCATTGTCCTGCATGTTTTACATAATTCTCTGCTCCAACACACCTGATTTGAATGAGGGGTGATTAACAGGCTTCTGCAGAACTTGGAAGAGGTAATTAAATCTCTGAACCAGGTGTGTTGGAGCAGAGAAACAAGTAAAACATGCAGAACAATGGCACTTGAGGACCAGGGTTGCCCACCCCTYGTGTACAGTCTCAGGGTGATGGAGTTGGGGTGAAACCCTCCATGTAGTCTTGGTGTCAGTGGATTCTCTCCTCCTTTGGCCAGGCTAATATACCAGCAGAATATCTGATGACTGACTCTGCACACGTGTTGATGACTCTGACTTTGTTGGCTCTTCAGAACCTGCCTTGCTCATGTAGGTTGAGGTTCACTTTCTTGCAGCCTCATGATTGCCTGTGGGATTCCAAGTATTTGTAGCTGTCCTGGACATCTGCAATGTTGCCTTCAGGTAGTTCAACCCCTTCAGCTGTGATCACTCTTCCACTCTCACAACTTTTTGACAACATTTATCCAGTCTGAACGATCTTTACAGGTGAGGTGGATCAGTGTGTCATGTCTCTTTGTAGCACACATCTTGATATCTTCCATGTAGCTGTGGTGACTGATGATCGTTACATTTTAGAACAGGTATCCAACAGGTATCTATAGCCACTCTGCAATTATTTGGCTGGAGGGGTTCAGGTCTATGCAGAACAGGAGGGGGACAGTGCATTACCTTGGTAAATGTCCCAATAAATGGCAAATAGCATATTTAATGCTAACTTGTACAGCTGGTTTAAAGTTGGCCTCAACGTTCCCACTGAGTTCTTGGTGAATTCTCAGTTTCCAGTTGATGAAGATCAGTTTCAAGAACTTCAGTCTCCATGTGTGGCATCAGGTCATCTGCCTTCCTTTACTTATTTCATATCTTTGGCTGTAAGCTTCTTCAGAACTACAATTAATAAAAAGACTCAGTTTCACAGAAAAGGATCTGACAGTCTTTATTTCCAAATACAAAAAGATTTAACTAAATAATTTGTTTTTGTCTTACAGCTGCTGTCTGTGTCGTTTCTGAGAACTAAAACTACATTCAGACAYAAATAATCCTGGAACTAAGGAGACAAAGAGAAACAGGTTTATAAAAAATAACAAACGTTGCTCAGACAAACGTCTGGTTTTAAACAAATCTAATACAAAACTTCACATCTGGAGATTTACTACAAAATGCCTCGTACAAAAATAAAAATATGAATAAAGTTTGTTTCTAACATGTAAAATTCTTCAGACATTACAAAAATAAAAAACACAACCAACCACTGGAACCTGTGAACAGAGTCCAAATACACAGAGACAGGCTTTTATTTTGTAAAATATTACTACTTCCTGCACAGCTGGAAAATATTTATATCTTAAAAAGACAAATCTGTTGTCATGAAACCATTTCTTAGCTTATGTCCTGATGCATCTCAGTAATCCAGGTAAAAAATCAAAAGGAAAAAAATAGTATAGGTCTTCTGGACGGGTTCTTCTCTAATGAAA